ATCTTGGGCACGCATGCACACATGCCCAGCGTGAGTTTAAGCCACCGGGTCCGGGACACGAACCGCGGTTGACTACGTGGGAGTCCAGCGACATAGTCCTTAGCTAACTGCTGGTCCCCCAGCTCTACCTATTCTTACTGCCAGGCACAAGCCCATCGTCTGATCTTGACGTAAGCACTGTCCAACCGTGTGCACGCATGGTGCCTGCTGACGAGGCGTCATATTTTAATTAATACAGTCTGTAAGCTCATTAGCTTTTTTGGCAATCGCACCTCACTGGTGACTTGGGTTATGAACACGAATTTCGTCCCTGTGTGCTGCAGCAAAGCAATCTTTACTTCATCTTCTAGTTCTGATGCGTTTAGAGCCGGGAGCAGGTCGTGTCATCACTCCCTATTCAATTTCAACTTGTCAGGCTTTGCCTACCACTTAGTCCTGAGAGCCCTGATTCAATCAATCGCTGCATCCCCATCTTGTTGAGCTTTTGAAAACCCAGAAATGTGATCAGGTCTCTAAATTTTCATCCAAGCTCTTCAGCGTGTCTACAGAAACTTTCCGGGTTGACATCGTCCCTTCATCACCTTAATCGTGTTTGTGGTCACAAAGCCAAACGCGGTCCCCCAGTGCTGTCATTCAGCTCAGGCACCCCCACCTGCCCTTAGCCGCAAGAGCGACCCCTTCCCAGTAAATGCTGAGCTGCAAGTATGTGACGCCTACCCTTCTCTACAACCCGCAGTCTGGAAATCCTGTTAATAGGCGATGCGGTGGGAACCAGCAGTTAGCGTAATGGCTATGTCGCTGGACTCCCACGCAGTCAACCGTGGTTCGCGTCCCGGACCTGGTGGCTCAAAACCCACGATGGGCGTGTGTGCATGCGTGCCCAGGATCCCAAGAGGAAAATGGAGGAGAAGGGATTGCGGCGTGGCCATCCCCTCTAGGGGGTGATTTCTCACTTTCTGTCTCTCTGTCTCTCTCTGTCTGTCTGGTGAGTGCATGCGCTCTATAGCGAAAACCTCTCAAAAAAAATAAATAAATAAAAAGGCGATGCGGTTACAACATTGTGGCTCGTTCCGCATCGCAGTGATATTCTTTCCTTTTCTCCATGCTTATCAAGTGTTCTAGACGGAAGCTAACATGGTCATCGCTTTCAGCCACCACTTCCCTCACCACCTTCTAGGACAGCCTCGGGTATCCATGGGTAACCATGTTGTGTCTCACCGGTTCTCCACTGCACAGTAGAGATTATTGACAGACTCGGTCACTGCATTCACAGTTTCCTCGCTGAGGACAATGTATCAGCTCATTCAATAGTGCTCAGTATCACCACACACACACACACACACACACACACATGTGCACACACCATATATTGACAGCTTAAGAAAAGACAGATTGATATCAGACAGACAAGCTTATTAACATGTACCTCGTATGCACATGAGCAATCAGGACAGTGAGTGCGTCTCGCAGAGAAGGCCTAGAACTCCAGCTCGCATAGCCTCTGCAGATAAAGGAGGAAGGCTGTAAAGGAGGCAAGTTAGGGGAAGGTGGTCAGAAAGCACTGTGAACGAGAGTCAGCTTCCCATGTGGGTTTGTCAGTCCCTTCTCCAGAGATAAACGTCTCTTGTGATTTAATTATCCTCTCCCTGGAGCAGAGACCGTGAGAGAGAGATGGAGATTCCTCTTACATGTAAATGTCTCTTCCAAAAGGGTAACTTGCACTCTGTCCTCAGTCTCTCTTCCTTCTGCTCTTTCTCAAAATAATCCTTCTGGCAAAGAGGCATATTTAGGGGTGTGATAGCCTCGTCTTCAACATCTCCATTCTCAGAGTCATTTTCCACATTGGGGCCAGCAACAAAACAGTAAGATTCAGTTTTTCTTCTTTCTTTTTTTTGGAGAGGTTTTTGCTATAGGGCATGTGCACTTGCCAGCCAGCCAGAGAGACAGAGAGACAGAAAGCAAGAAATCACCCCCCCCTCCACCCCCGTGGGGAGGGCCACTCCGCAATCCCTTTTCCTCCATTCTCCTCTCAGGATCTTGGGCACGCACGGACACGTGCCCGGCGTGAGTTTTAAGCCACCGGGTCCGGGACGCAAACTGCAGTCGACTACGTGGGAGTCCAGCGACATAGCCGTTACACTAACTGCTGGTCCCAACCAGTTTTTCTTTGTCATCTTGAACATTGCTTCTAGCACTGGGACAGTCTCACCTTTGTTGTGCTTATTCCAAATACTATTTCTTAGGTTTTTTTTTTTTTTTTTTGGGTGGGTTTTTGCTATAGGGGCCGTGAGCTCGCCTTGCTATAGGGCGCGTGCGCTCGCCAGACAGAGAGAGACAGAGAGACAGAAAACGAGAAATCACGCTCCAGGGGGGATGGTCATGCCGCAGTCCCTTCTCCTCCATTCTCCTCTCAGGATCTTGGGCACGCACGCACACGCGCCCGGCGTGAGTTTTAAGCCACCGGGTCCCGGACGCGAACCGCTGTCGACTACGTGGGAGTCCAGCGACATAGCCATTACGCTAACTGCTGGTTCCCTCTTAGGTATTTTTAATCATGTAGGTGGTCTTGTCCTGGTCACTTACATGCTTTTCTTTCAGATAGTCCCTCATCGCTGAGTCTCCAGTGTCATAACAGTTCTCTGTTCTGCTCATCATTTCCCTCTCTGCTCTTTTTGGGCAATGCTGAGCCTTTCTTCCCAGTGTGGACCCCCAGTCCAAGACTGTCTTTCTTGGACCAGCCTCTAGGTTCCAACAGCGACAGCGTCTCCGGCCCACGCCCATCGCTTACCTGTGTATGTGCACACTCAGACGCTCACTCGCACACGGAACCTGGAGACCTAGAACCCGAGGATTCCGTCAGTTCTAACTTCTAAGCAGTTGCCATTCAAAGTGTGTCCTCTTTTTCTACAATGCCAAATGAATCCCCGTTTTCTAAAACTCTTTTGATGGAACTAATTTTCTAGGTCACTTGGTTTTCTAAAATGGCATGATATAACTCTTCTCTAATTCTTTATAAATAAACATTAGTAATAAAGTAAAATTTAGGTAACTTGGTATCCCCTTTTCTTCCATTGCATTAGTTATATTTAGACTATTCCTTTGTGTTAATGTCAGAACAAAACAAAAGCTGGGAACCAAACACAGAATAATGACTAAAAAACTCATTAATTAGAGTCATGTTTACATTCTCACCGTCAATCTTATTTGAACTGATTTCTCCTGTTTAATGTGATTCTTCAAGTTTTTTATTAAGAAATTCTATGCCGGAACCAGCAGTTAGCGTAATGGCTATGTCACTGGACTCCCACGACTGCAACTCAAGTCCTGGACCCAGTGGCTTAAACTCACGCTGGGCGTGTGTGTGCGTGCCCAAGATCCTGAGAGGAGAATGGAGGAGAAGGGATTATGGCATGGCCATCCCCTCTGGGGGGTGATTTCTCGCTTTCTGTCTCTCCGTCTCTCTCTGTCTTTCTGGCGAGCACACGCGCCCTACAGCAAAAAACTCTCCAAAAGAAGAAAAGAAAAAAAAAAAAAAAAAAAAAAGAGGTGCTATGCCTTGGCCCTCCCATAGTCTAGTGGTTAGAGAAGCCAGACCGATATGGTTGAAAGTGGTTCGAATCATTGCCCTTGAGGCTTAAAAAACACAGTGGACATGTGTGTATATGTGCCCCAAATGCCAGTGGGGTGGAGAACTGGAGGAGAAGGGAGACTGCTGCAGGGCCACACTGCACTGGGGCATGCTTTCTCCTCTCTGTCTCTCTGTTTGTCTATCTCTGTCTGATAAGTGCATATATCCGCCGGCAATTAAAAAAAAAGTAAGCAATTCTATGCCTGAGTTTGTACTATGTGTGAGCACAGAAAACTTGCGCATCTCATGGAAAGTTTAATTAACTGATAAGACACTTAGAATAATTTCTGACACACAATAGGTGCTCAGCAAGTGTTAGTTCATCAGTATTTCACATTGTGTGAGGTTTAAAAAGCATATGGTTACCAATTTTTTCTTTTTGCTAGAGGGTACCTGTGCTTGTTGGAGGGAGACCGAGAGGTGGAGAGGAGGAAGCACCTCCATACATCCATGTCCCATGGTCGTATCACAATCCTTCCTCTCTCTCTCCCTCCTTCGAGGGCTTTGGGCATGTACTCCCATGCCAGGCAGGTTTCTCAAGCCTCCAGGCCTGGGACTGAAACCACATGGCTCACCATGTGGGATCCAGTCGCCTTAACCACCAGGCCACAGAGCCAGTCCCATAGTATTGGTTGCTTTAACAACAATAGAATAGGGATCTACACCAATTTGCTGACTGACATTCTCTTGTTCCATTTTATGTTACTGAGGATCCTCACTGTAGGTTTCATAATGTACACAGGAGTGGAGGATGTTCGAAAATCTTAGTTGTCACACGGCCTATCTGCCATGGCACCAGTGGAAAGGTGCCTCTGCTAATGGCCGAGGCCATATGGTGTCGGTTCCTGGTTCCACTAAACAGGTAGTAGTAGTAGTGCCACCTCTGGAGGCTTCCTCACAAAGAAAACTCAGCTTGGGTTCCTGCAAGTCACTATGCTCACCAGAATGGCAGCCAGTCCTTGAGTCTTGGCTAGATGTTCATGTGTAGATAAGGAGCCCGGGCCAGAATGCCAATGCACACACTGCTGCCTCCAGCACTAGCAACGAGTCAGACGAATGACAGCACACTGGAAGACATTGCTGACTGACGTTTGGGCTCTACCGCAACAAGAGCCCCGTGGGAGTAGTGAACAGGTCAGGAGCTGGCGCTGCTCTGCACGACGCGCTTCAGAGTGTTATCACAGCAGAATGCTTACTAGGGTATCCGAAGTAAGTCAACTAAGATGGCACTTCATAATTCAGCCTATAAGCACATGTGTGCGAGGGAAAGGCAATAAATGCTTTGTAGTAATAACTAAGCAGTAAAATATGATCGACTTTTTTCTTACGTGGGCCAGCTATCATTAGATGACAAACTGTAGTACTGCAATTCTGGGTTTTCGTATGATAATTACATACAGAAGATTGTCAGATATAGCAAGCCACAATATAGAACACCCAGTTCAATTTGGATTTGGGTCAAACAATAAATACTAATTTATATAGAAAAACCTATACACAGAACTGTAGGGTAATGCTCTGTAATGATCTTACTGCAATGATGTAAGTGATTAATGGTCACAAAAATATTTCTAATTTAATTTTTGCAGAGGGTGCATGTACTTGTCAGAGGGAGATAGAAGAGAGAAAGTACGAAATCACCTCCCCCCGTGGAGATCATGCTTCAATCCCTTCTCCTCCATCTCTCCCTCTTTCGGGGATTTGGGGCACATGCTCCCCTGAACACAGAGTAGGCTGCCAGACCTGAAACTCAGACTATGCAGCTGGCCACGTGGGGTCCAGCAGACAGGATCACAACTGTACCATGCCGTGGGCGGGCCCCACAAAATAGAACTTTTGTTCCAAATCTCTGACTTCAGTTTCCCAGAATGACAGAAAAATGAAAGTTAGACAAGAGTTGAGAGTGATGGGTAAACTTTGAAAACTTGCATGAGAAGGAATTTGCTGCTTCATATCCATTCATCGCGATGTGCCAGGTGACTGAAGAGGTTCTCTTCCAGTATTATTCAAGCATGAAATGACAAAGCTGATAGACAGTTGAAGCAAATAATGTTTTCGATTGCATCATGACTTTGGGGCTTGTTATTAATAACCATTTTACCTTCATTAATTACAGGAGCTTTATTTATTCCACTGAGTTTCAGAGAGGAGAATATGCTCTAAGATGTTCTTTCCATTTAAAAATTCATTTGAATGAAATATAGAACATAGACATTTGAGCATGATTTAAACTAATGGTATCCATCAATCATAATTAAGAGTATATAGAACTGAAATGAGAACATTTTAACTAATTTACTTAAAAATATTTACTATGTGCTAGACTGTTTCATATATATAAGGGGACTTCCAAAACTTCATGAGAAATGAAATTAAAGTACAAGTTTATTTTGGGGCAAATGTTTTTTCCAAATCCATGTACAGTTTTTTCCATACTATGCAATTTTCATAAACCTTCCCAAGACTACTAGTATTATGTTATTTAAAATTCCTGAGAATGCATGGCATGTGAATAGTCAATATTTGGCCTGAAGCCAGTATGCCTGCTTTAGAGTCCACTTAGAACAGCTCTCCCCAACCCTTCCCAGAGGCTTCGGTGGTAGCTGGTTGGTGTTAACCACTGACACTAGCCAGTGGTCTGCACTTCCTGCCACAGCCCCCTAAGGTGGTCCTGATATGTTCCCCTATAAATCCTATGCTGGGCTCAGGTTTTTTTTCATATTTCTCTGTGTCTTAACATTATTGATTGTGGGGCCAGCAGGTGACATGGTGGTTAAAGCACTAGATTCCAACATGGCCAACCACAGTTCGAGTTCTGGACCCAGTGACTTGAAACTCATGCAGATTTGTGAATGCCCAAAATTTTGAGAGGAGAATCGAGAAGAGATTGCAGCATGGCCAACTCCCCACCCATGGGAGGTGATTTCTCACCTTTCTTCTCTCTGGGTGAGCCCACGCACCCTATGGCAAAATTTTTAAATAAGAAATTACTTCAAATTAGCCTTTGTGTCTATTTTTGAGAAATACATTTGTCACAGCAGTCTTATAGAAGATGGTCTGGGGTCCCTTGGTCAGGCTGAGCTTATACTAGCAGAAGAAACTAAGCCTATAACATATAACTCTATAAGAATAGCATCTAACAGGTGTTTACATTTTATTGATGCACTTTTTCCTTTTAAAAATATGTCTTGAGGCCGGCAGATGGCGCAGTGATTAAGGACATTGTACTCCCACATAGCCGACTGCGATTTGAATCCCAGACCTGGTGGCTTGCTTTCTCACTCTCTCTCTTTCTGTCTGTCTGTCTCTCTCACTCTGTCCCTCTCTGGTCAAATTAAAATAAATCAATTAATAAATAAAGTTAAATGAAATAATTCTTTAAAAAATGTCTTTCTCTCACATGAGAGAGAAAGGGAGAGAGAGAGAGATACACTTGACAGCATCTCGCTGGCCACAGTCTTCTCCCCAAGCCTCCCAGCCAGCTCGGATCACAAACACACATAGATGCACTCAGCACGGGCAGGTCTGCTCAGGATCAGAACCTGGGCCTTCCATGCGGCCACAGCACTGAGCAGCAGCCCCCTACTGCCCGCCACTCCCTGAGCCCTGGGCACTTTGTTGTGGGAATGTATTTGGTGAAATATTAGTAAATGGATGCATTTATGTAAGTCTACCCAAATCAAGAAATAAAATAACTAGGCTACGAGGAACCCCCTGTATTTCCTTTATATGGCTATCCACCCACACGTGCAAGGTTTAACTACATAGAATAATCGCTCCTGGTTTTGAACTTTGTATGAAAGTATATTTTGTCTTACTTCATTCAGGCTGCTATAAAATTACCATAGACGGGTGGCTTACACACGAGAGATTTTACTTTTCACGGCTTTTAGGAGCTGGAAGTCCAAGTGGCGCTGGCCAAGTTGGTGTGTGGTGAGGGCTTGCTCCTCCTTCCTCTGTCCTCACAGGGAGGAGGGGTGAGGGAGCTCTGTAGGGTCCGGGTCATAAGGGTGCTCATCACATTCATGAGGCTTCCACCCCAGGGCCTATGGGCCCCACCCCAGCACAGCATCTCCAGGGTGATGAATTTCAACAAAAGAACTTTGATGGGCCTTAAACATCCAGCCCGTTACAATGGTCTTTGTATTTGTTTCTTACTCCACGTTACATCTGTGTGGCTCATTCATCCAT